TCGGACAATACGACCCACCGGTGGGTCGTAAGTTTCCTGACTCTAGCTTTGCCAGTTTACGATGAAATTCTACGGGATTTTGGCACATGATTGGGGACAGCTAGTCGAAGCTGCACCCGGAGTGGTCCGGCCTCACCATCCGTGATGTGATGTTACGGTAGGTATACCGTAGATAGAGATAAAGCAGAGATTTTAGCTCAAATTTTACAAAATGATGCTATTTCTGAAAACTCAAGTGTAGCGTATGTGCACGAGAAATGTGACGTGGACAAGAAACTGATGTTGGACCCCAAACAATAATCGATTTTATTGATTTTATTGGTTTTTTTGCATTATTCATCCTGGAAGCTCAAATCTTACATATATAGGTTTTGTAACATGGTTACGGAAATGATAGTCTCAAATTCCTTTAATGCCTTCTTACACCAGTTTCTTAATTTTTACGAAATACCGTGCATCTACCGTAGCCCCTCTGTGGACCTAGTGAACGAATGAACACTGAATCGTGATTAGCACGTAAAATAACCCCAAAACGCTATTTTTTGTGGAAATTCATGATGTTGAGCTCGTACAAAATGGCTACCGTAACCTTACCTCAGCGCCTTCGTGACCCCCTTGAGGAATTTTTTGGAGACCTGTTTTGGATATTTTCCAAAAAGACTACCATTTCTGATAATCCACGGGTGGGTCGTAGATTTGACAAAAAGGCTCTGGTCCGAAACGGCAGTAAACGAAAAATTGTCCTTGTCGTGAATGTGTTAAAAAATACACAGCAATTGCTTCTTAAAATTAGGTCTAACATAAGTTTTGTTACACTACATGAAAAATCCTCATAATTTTGCAATTTTTTTCTAGTCCTCGGATCGAGCCGAGAGTACTACTGTGTGACATTATGAATGAAACCTACTCTCAGAGTAGGTTTCATTCATAATGTCACACATGAAAAATCCATCTAAATTTTTCAAAATTCTTTTTCGAATTATGTTCGGCAATTTTCCAAATTGCGTTGTTAAAGAGCCTAGACTTCAAAACTACCTCCATATTAGTACTGATGTCCTTGGAAATAGACGAAGAATCTTAGAGCATAAGAGTGATCGGGAGAATTTCTAAGAAAAAGGAAAAAAATTGGAGATTGAAGAGTTGTGTCAAAATTGCCGTCATACTTACTGTAACCCATACTTGTGAAGGTGAAAACGGTGTCATTAGATAATCTTTGTCCATTGCTCTACCTGCCAAATATTAGAATTTGACAAAGTTCCTAGTTCTTAAATAATGAAAAAAGTGTCACAAAATTTACGTTACGACCTAATGTCAAGATTGAAGCCGAGATGAATGTTTGCAGAAAACCTCTCTACATGATTCATTTGAGAGATCTACCGTTACCGTATCAGAAGCGAGCATCTCTCAACCAAAAAGTTAATACTTGCTTACCTTACATTGAGCTTTTGTTGCCCTTTTGCCATAATTGTCACCCTATGTAACATTACATGAATGAGACAAATGTTTCAGGCATTATGGAATTATGCGGTGTACAAGTACTTATTCGGGTTCTTATAGACGGCTTTACTTTGTGCGGACAGAATGAAATTGCACCAGAACT